AATTTGACAACATCAGAACAGACAATAATCTTATTACTGATGCACCTAATATTAAACTTCATATCCAACAACACTTTAATTAATAAACATTATACTGACATATTAACCAACAAATATATAAATCTAACTGGCAAAATGTATATAACCTCAAACCAGACATAAACTCTGAATGGTATAACAATACTCTTTTTGAATTTACTACTAATGAAGTCAATTCAACATTAGCTTAATTTCTAAACAATAAAGCTTGTAGCCCTTTAGGCATTAACTATGAAATGCTCAAACATGCAGGCTTACAATTTTTTCAAACAATTACTGCTCTTTTTAATAGATATATTTCTACAAACCATATACCAAAACAATGAAAAGAAGGTATAATCTTTCCAATCTCAAAAAAACCAATCTTTGATGGTAATCTCACCAACACAAGACCTATTAGTCTCCTTTAGCATACTAAAAAATTATATACCAAATTGCTTACAAACCACCTAAACAATATCTTTACAAAATTTAAAATACTCTCACCCTATAACTATATTGCCCTTCTAGGCAATAGTACTGCTATCCCTATTCATATATTTAACAATATCATCGAGAATGCATGTTGCAATTCTAAAAAACTTCGGCTTATATCCTAGGACATGAGCAAAGCTTACAATTCAGTTAATTTAAACCTATTTAAAAAAGCTTTTAATCATATCAATATGCCATCCAAACTGATTAATATACTTATTAATCTACTTACAGACCATCAGAACAGAGTAATTACAACTTTGGCCTTACTAATTTTTATTCAGTTAAAAATAGAATAGACCAAGATGAAACTATTACTTCTCTCTTTTGGCAGATATACTATAATTCACTCATTCATAAAGTTGCATCATAGCATAAAGGTTATACACTATCTACCCTGTAAGAAATGTGGACCGGGGTGTGGCATGCGTTGGCATCGGGAATGTTCGGAATGGCATGTCTGTGATGGCACGCTCATGCATGATGGATGTAATGGCACGTCTCGTAGTGACATGTATAGGCATGTTTTCCGCACTGGGAATGGCATGTATCAGCACGTGTATGGTGTTGGCATGTGTTCAAAATAACATGTATAGAACTGTTTTACATAATAGCATGTGTTCGAAATAGCATGTATAGGACTGTTTCATGTAATAGCACGTATATGACTGACACAATTTGGCACATATTGGGTAATGGCACGTATTGAAATAGCACGTATAGAAAGGTTTCACGTAATGGCACTTTTTTGCCTGCACGTTTAGGCACATATATTATTGGCACAGATTGGCACATTTGGAGTAATGATATCATACCTGAATAAAAAAGTTATACAATTTTATATTTATTGATAACTAAAAATAGGCAATTTTTATAACGTTTATTAAGAGATTCAAAATATATAAATAAAGTTGCAATTTCACTACAATGTATGTAGAAAAATTTTATTTATTCTAATAACTAAGTTAGGTAAAAAATAATATGATTCTGAAAAGCGTTACATTAAATGCTATTTATTTATAACATAAAAATATTTCTCTACCCTAAGAAAACCTACACATCTTCGTATCATTGACACATCAACAAATTCGTAGTTACCAAATTCCTCAAAACAATATATTCCATATGACTCTTTACGTGCATTTTTTACATTCTTAATATATGCAAGCAATTGGTACTTTCCACAAAAAATATGACAAAAGTAATATTGTACTTGTCCAAAAAATTGCTGTAACTCATATCTCTTAGGATCCTTTGACTTAGCAGTATTGACTTCTAACTCGTACTTAAGAAAAATAATTTTATTAAGAATTATAAAATAAGAAATGAATATTTTAAAGAATTACTATACCATTACACATTCATTATTCCAAGTATTAGCTGCTACCATTGTTATAGAAGAACCATGCATATAGCCTTCTTTTGTTCGTAATTTTGAATATTTTACTCCCCAATCAGGTAACTATGTATAATAGATTAGCATTACAGTATTAAATAGTATAAATATATATTTTAAAAATAGCTTACCTCAGTAATTCATTCATTTAAATTGGCCTGATAAAAATTTGATAATGCTACAAATTCATTATCATTTAAAGTATAATTTAAACTAGGTGCCTATAGTTCTTCTTCATCATCTTCAATCCAAATAACTTGTTGCAAGTGATATTTTTTAGGTGGTGCTGAGGGAGAAGAATCCTGCATATATATAGTTGGTACAAAGCGAAGATGATAAAATTGTTCTAGTAATAGAACATTATTCATCAAATTTTTGTATGGATGCTTGCAAGATTGAACCATTGGCTGAAGCATTCCACATAGCTGTTCTATTGGATATTGCCAATATACCCAACATGGCCCACAATTTTTAATACAGGCTTGTATATGCAGTAAATAGTGAAAAGTAATTTTAAAGACTGAAAAATGTTTTATATCATTGCCAACATATAACCTAAACAAATTATTAATTTAGTAAGATGCTAAAATAAAATAAATAAATAAAAATTAATCATATACCTAGTATATGATGTAAAAAAAGCTTGAAAGTTTCCATCTAAACGATGTAATTGTTCATAAGTAATTGTTTTTTCAGTAGTAATTTGTGCAGCTTTTACAAATAAATGCCAATTATCTACGAAACTATTGAATAAATAGTAAACTAATGAACATTTTATTTTTTTGAAAACTTTTTAAAAATAACTTACCTCTTATTATAAAAGCAATGTAGCAAAGGTATAGAATATAAGCAAGTCCAATTTGTTCAATCCTCTGCTTTAAACGCATTTGAATGCTGATAAATATTTAATAAAGGTCATCCAAATTTATATGGCATTGCTTTTGTATTTGCTTCAATTATTGAACCAATTTGTTTCCACACATTTTTTGATAAGGTTGGTAAATTAGTTTCAGCATTATTTAAAGACCTATTCAAATAAAATGATTCTGACCAATGCTTATACATTTGCATAGCAGCACCTTCAAAGACAAGATGCATAATGTCTAAAGAAAAAGAAGCAGGAAATTGTACAGCTATTAATTCAAAAAGAATACTTTCTCCTGCTATTCCTATAAAAATATTATTATTAAATATTATTAAAATGTAATGTAATCATATGCTAATTAAATATGTATACCTGTTTCTCTTTGAATTTTTTTCTTATCAGATGCAGCTTTCCAAGTTGAAATTTTGTCCAAATATGATTTATGATTACGTAAAGGAAGGTTTTTTGTATTATATGATACTTCGCTCTTTTTACTTGGATGCTTTAGAGGAAAGTATACATGATTAACACCTGCATCTGAATTAGTTGTTCTCTTGATATCACAAAATCTGCAGCCCATATATCTATTATGTTCAGTTATATTCATTAGTTTGCTAATTGCAGATATGTCTCTGCACCATATTGGAACAAAAGCACGCAAATTAAAATTTTCTTTTTTTCAACTATCCCAACATAATACACCAGCTAAATAAAATTAAAATAAATATTTTTTAATAAATTAATTAAAATTATATATTAAATTAAATACCTTCAAGTTCTTTTAATTCGCTAATAATAGGATACATAAAGCTATTTAAATTTTTTGGACTATTAGGACCTGGTATTATTGCTGAAATTAATAGATTTTCATGTTTAACTCGATCTTCTGGAGGTATATTATTATTAATAAACATAATTATCCAGTTATCATCTCTTTTTTGATGAAAAATTTGGTAGCCATCCAAACTTCCAGTAAGTATTAGATCTCATTCATCTTGTATTAACTTTTTGTGTAGAAGTCTTTTATATAATTGTTCATCAAAAATATCTTCAAATTTGGTAGAATTAAGCTTATAGTTTGAACGATATCTAAATATTTTAGACCGCTGTGAATCAGCATATTGAAATTTTAATCGAGGTATTAATAGATAATAGGCTGCATTTTTGTATGCAGATTGATCTTCTTTAAATTGTGCAGCCTCACATATAGGGCACCTTAACATTTCTGTATATTCGCCAGTAAAAGCTATACAAGAATTAATACACATATCAACAAAGTATATATTAAAATTAACTAGCTTTTGAAGAGTTTGTTTTGTCGTATATAATGTTGGACCATTACAACCAAATATTTGTAAAATTTCGGAAAAATTTTCATCAGATATTTGAGTTTTTTTAGCCTTTAAATATAATAATTGTAATGCTTTAAGCATATTTGGTAATTCTAAATAAAAATTTTAATAAATTAATAAATTAATATAATAAATTTAAATTAATTTATTGATATATTAAAGCACTAATATATAAGCTATTATATAATATTAAATTTGATATTTAAGATATATAGCTAGTGCTCTTAATAAATAAAATTCTTACGTTCTAGCTCCTGTATAATTTTATTATTATTGTCATTTTTATAATAATTTGTTTGATTTTTTTATTCTAAGTTTTCATATCACAAAGTAGTATTATGATCTTCTTGTGAAATAATATCTTGATCTTCGTAAAAATCTTAATGTTGTAAAGTAATATCTTGATCTTCATAAAAAGCTTGATTTTCATTAAAATCTTGATCTTCATAAAAAGCTTGATTTTCATTAAAATCTTGATCTTCATAAAAATCCTGATCTTCGTAAAAATTCCGATTTTCATTAAAATCTTGATCTTCATAAAAATCTTGATATTGTAAGGTAATAATATCTTGCTCATTATAAAGAAAATCTTTTTTTGATTTATTAGTTCTTTTTGTTCTAAAATATGTTTTTCCGATAATTTTTCCATTTTTGTTATAAAAACATCTTTCTGCTTTATCATGTTGGCATTTAATTCTCTTACTAAGTTCTCGTCCTTGCACACTTATTATTAAACAAGCTTTGCATTTACAAATTACTTTTTCTAATTTATGCTTATTAGTCATTTATTATATATTACTAATATACTTGAAATTTTAACAATTAAAAACATCAAAATTTTTATTTAAGGTTTTATTTATGTATTACAAACATTAAAATATTGTTTATCAATTAACTGCCAAATTTAGAAATTTAGTATCGCATAAGAATATAAATAATTTAGATCCATATAAATATAAATTTATTCACATTTTTGTTTTTGCAAATTTCAAACTTTTACAATGACAACTTCATCTTCAATTACCTATTCATATCTATCTCAAAAAATTATAGATAGTGAAGCTCCTTCTGAAGAAATATTAGATTCATTATCAGCTCAACAAAAAATAGAAGTTTTAAAATTATGTTATGATTCACAACGAAAATTACTTAACAAGTTACTTAAAGAAAAAAGAATTGAGCAAGCTATTATAGAAATACCTACTATAGAGCCATCTAAACGAGATAAACATTAGTTATCAAAAATTAAACTTTGGGAGCTTTGCCCATGACTACCAAAAACTTACTTTGCAAAAATTAAAGCTGATTTTACTCCACATATTGAAGCAAATAAAATCGCTGAGTCAACAACATGGTCACAATTAGGGTATTCAGCTAGAGAAACTTGGATCAAAAATGTAAGATAATTATATTTATAATTTATTTTAAGATTTTAAAAAAATTAACAAATACAGATTTTAAGTTTAAATTTAAATTATATTTAGATATATGACAAACATAAAGTTCAAATCGGGTCTAATACATGGATTGTACAAGAATGTCTTAAGCAAAAATTAATAGATAGAGGTATAGACTATAAAATATTATTAGTGATTAAATTATAAATATTTTAATATAATTGTTTAATTTTTTGTTTTATTTTTAGCTGATAATTTTTGAAGAAAAATAAACAAGAAGCAAAATATTACTATACAAAGTAGAAATAATGATTAAGAATTTGAATTACAAGGGGTTTCTACTTATTATAATAAAGAGAATACAAATTCGGCTTATACATCTGATATAGAATCTGATAATAATTAGGAAGCAAATACATTTACTAAAGGCAAGTTTATTAGTTTATTATTATTTGAGTGCTACAGTTAAAGACTAAAAAGTAAATATATATAGTGAACTTATTATGCATAATATTTATATGATAAATTTACTAGACTATATAATAACTTAAATGTTCCTTTTAGGTTTTACTCTATAACAACTTACATAACAATTTATTTGTTTTAATCAAGTTATTTAATTACTTTTAATTGGATTTAGAATACTTCACTGCTAAATTGCATAAAAATTATGACCATACTAGTAATGTTGAGGAAACAGCTGAAACTAATGATGAAGAAGAGACTGAAACTAATAACAAGGAAGAGGCTGAAAATAATAATAATAAAGAGACTAAAAATCATAGAAACAATTTGCATCAAATATTTAAAGGTATTTGTTATAAAATTATATTTATTTATATTAATTAGCAGTATTTTAATTTAACAATTTAATTTTGTTTTTGCTTTGCATAGGCACATTAAAGTCTAACCCATCTACCAAAGAATTAAACAATAAAATTAGTAGCTGAACATGGCATAATTCCAAAAGATATAGTCAAGAATTGGACAGTTCTTTACCAAAACGAATTTAAAAAGAGAATGCTCCATTATCTTTAGTATCTACTAACAAGTTCAGACCTAAAAAAAATAGACAAATAACAAAATTATCAATGATAAAATCAGGAAAACAAAGAAACAAAACATAAATAGTATGCATTTCGTTTTAAATGAGTTTTTAATTACCGTTATATAAGTATCGATTATTTAATTAATTACAATTATTATTTAGATTTCTGTTATTCAAGATATTATTAAACAAATCCAAGACAATATTACATGAATAGAAAAGTTAACTCTTGATATTTGGGTACAGTTAATAAAGACGAAGCTATCAAATGTTATCTTGAAGCCACTTACATAGAATACACGCAGCTATTTTAGTACAAACAAAAAAGATAACATCAAAAAATTAGAGTTATTAAATTTAGGTTAAACTTCTAATACATATTTGATGTATAATGGTCATAGAATAATAAAGTAATCATTGATGCTAAATTGATTATATATATATTCACATAGTTCAAAAGCCCAATATATTATTATTTAAAATGCCAAAATCCATATATCTTGGCTTAGTAAACTGCAGCAGCAAAGGTTTAAAAATGCATGGCAAACAGTTCTATCCAGACCATCCGTGCCAAAATCCGTGGATTTTAGATTAGTAAAGTGCCACAAAACTCAGTCCAATTATGGTCCAAAATGCACGTGCAAACAGTCCAAACCGTTCTTAAAATTCGTGCCAAAATCCATGGATTTTAGATTAGTAAAGTGCTGCAAAACCCGGTCCAATTACGGTTCGAAATGCACAGGCAAACGGTCCAAAACGGTTTCAAAAAATCTGCGCTAACATGAACCACATATGTACAATTCTGGTCCTAGACCCATGCCACAAATCCACGTGCATTAACGTGGATAGTCGTGCCTATCCGGTACAATTTTCTTACAGGGCTACAATATGACCAACCAGTCTTTCTCTACTTAAAACTCAAAATCTTAATATATCTACTTCTGTTCTAGCCTACATGAATGATACACTTTGGATATCTCACTCTAAGTTAGAACTTGAAAAAACACTTCAAACTGCAACATCCTTTTACCAAATAGCCAATATCCAAATCAACTCCTCCAAATCTATCTTTATATCAAATCAACCCCAAACTACTACTCAATTCTTTAATTCCATGCTTACATCCATTCCAGCCAACCAACCTTTTAAATTTCTTGGTTGCTGGTTTACACTTAACAACAAACAAACTGCATAAATTAAATTAATTCAAGAAGAATCACTTCAACTTATAAACATCACCAGTATCAAAAAAATTACAGATAAACAAATAATTTATATTATTAATACAGTTATTATTCCCATACTAGAATACCGAATACACAATATAGTCCTTTCTAATTCTGTATGCAATAAAATTCTAGCCAAATATTTAACTGTAGCCAAACATAAATCCTATCTAGCTTGTTCCATCCCAAATAGCTCTATGCTTAACCTATTCTTATATAATATACACAACATCTGGGACATCTAGCTTCAACATCATATATCTAACTTTATGTTACAAATTAACAACCCTGACTTACTAGGAACCTTTACATATATTCGATTACAACAATTACAAAATAATCTCTGGTCAACTACAAATATATTACAACATCTCCAACCCAATATTGATGGACCTAATAGATATACTTTAAACCTTAAAATTATCCAACTTTTTATACATATTAACATGTCTATAACTGCTAATAATAGTGTACCTTGGCCTAATACTATACAATACAACCTTCAATCACTTGAACCAATCATGTCCTTACATCCCCAATATACTATCTTTAAAAAACAACTTAGAAAACTTAATATCCTGTATCTCAAACAACTCTGCACTACAGACAATACTACTCTACTTCTATGGAATCACCTCTTACTTTGTTTAATACAGCTACTCAAAGGACATAAGCCATCCTGGTTTACATGTCTAGAGAATACTGTAACAACTAACAATAGCTCCAGAACACTACTCTCACAATATCGACAAACCAGACACAACTCTTTTGCTTACAACTCTCAACACATCTCGAAAAAACTTAATTCCTGGCTACTAATATACAATAATAATATTATTATTATTGGCAAAATTTGCAGATACTTTAAAAATGACAACAAAATCTCTATCATATACTAAAAAACAAATATTAATACAGAACTCTTTACTTACTACCCTCTTCCATTAATTTAATGCTCAGCTTGTACAGGTTGCCATCTTAACTTCTACAGAGTTGCAAAATGCTGTACAATTAATGTATTATCAATAATTTCTACTCAATTTCTTGGAAGAATTTTTTCTAATATTCTCAACTTTAATGCAAACTATATTGATCTAATTTATTCAACTGCAATTAAACATCCATTATCTCTGCCCTCTGTTTTACTATTTATATCTCTGACTCTCCTATATTAGAAATTTTTAAGCAAGAAGAAGCCACACATACACTTGAACAATATTGTCTTACCAATATAGCACAAAATATATTTAACTTTTATACAGATGGCTCTATAATTGACATTAGTACAGATCAATGTACAATGGGTATTGGATGGGTACAAGTAAATGATTCCAACTAAATATTTTACAGAACATTAAGTTTTTTAAAAAATATGTTTAAAATATAATAATTATTTAATAATAATTTCTGTTAAGTTAATAACATCTAAGTTATTTACAACTATTAATCATATATTTAACAGTTAATAATTATTAAATTAATATTTTTATTATATTATTAATAACTAAAATTAAAATTATAAATATATATTATATAAATTTTAAATATATTTTAAAAATTTAAAAACAATTTAAATAAATTATAATTATATTTTATATATATAATAAAAATATAAAAAATAAAATTTAATAGTATTAATATATTTTAAATATATAATAAATATATAATTTTAATATATATATATTTATTATAAATAAATTTAATAAATTATAAACATATTTTAAATATATTATAATATAATTTTTAATAAATTAAACATATTTTAAATATCTTATTATAATATAATTTTTAATAAATTAAACATATTTTAAATATAATTTTTAATAACTTAAATATAATTTTAAATATAAAATTATTTTAATTATACATATTTAAAAATATAATTAATACATATAATATTATATAATTAACATTATTTTACAATAAATTTTAAATATAATTAATATTTTTTAATTGTAAATCAATCTATTTACTATTATAAATTTATTATATTTTAAAAATAAAACAATTTTGATTTTAAAATAAAACAATCTGTTGTCAACAATGATAATCACCAAAATGCAATTAGCCAATCACATCACAGAATCGGAGAATGTTTGTGTAATCCGAAATGAAGAAAACATTACATTTTTTTCAAAAATTTGCGAAAGACCTACATTTTACCTATAAAACTACTTTTCATGCTCTAATTAAAAAAATTCCTTGCAATATTTTACTACAGAACATCCCTAAACCAATCCTAACTCAACCTTAGCATTTGTTTGATTCTGTAACACAATTTGGTTGATCAATTACAATCTGGTAACTGCTACTGCTAGAGAACTAAATTATTTTTTAATTTTATATCAAACCAGTCTATCTACGCTACCTTTATTCCAATGAAACTAAATATACAAAAAAAAAAAAAAATCAGATCAAAACATGAAAAAAACATAACATCATAAAAGAAACTTATCTTTAATTCAATATCCAAATTCCAAGCCAGTTTAATTTCAATACCTTCATTCTGGCAAAGCTAAATATATATAAAAAAAATTAAATCAAAACATGAAAAAAAGACATATGAAAGAAAGTTATCCTTGATTTAAGATCCAATTCCAGGCTGGTCAAACTTCACTACCTTTATTTCAGTGAACTTAAATATACAAAAAACAAAAAAATCAGATCAAAATATAAAAAAAAGCACAACATAGTGAAAAAAACTTATCTTTGATTCAAGATCGTGATTTCAAACTCATTTAACACTACTACCTTCATTTCGGTGAAGCTAAATATACAAAAAAAAAAATTAAACCAAAATATGAAAAAAATATAACATAGTAAAAGAAACTTACATTTGATTCAAGATTCCGATCTAAAACAAGTCTAACTTTACTACCTTCATTTCGGCAAAGCTAAAGATGCAAAAAAAAAATATTAGATTAAAACTAAAAAAGACACAATATAAAAGAAACTTATCTTTATTCAAGATTCCAATACCAAACCAGTCAAACTCCACTATCCTCATTCCAGAAAAGCTAAATATACAAAAAAAAAATAATTAGTTCAAAACATAAAAAAACACAACATAATAAAAGAAACTTATCTTTGATTCAAGATCACAATTTCAAACAAGTTTAATTTTACTACCTTTATTCTGGCAAAGCTAAATATACAAAAAAATAAAGAATTAAATCAAAACATGAAAACAATACAACATAGTAAAAGAAACTTATCTTTGATTCAGGATCCTGATCCAAAACAAGTCTAACTTCACTACCTTTATTCTGGCAGAGCTAAATATACAAAAAAAAAAAAGAATTAGATAAAAACATAAAAAAAAACACAACGTAAAAGAAACTTATCTTTATTCAAGATCCCAATCCCAAACCAGTCGAACTCCACTATCCTTATTCCAGCAAAGCCAAATATACAAAAAAAAAATAATTAGTTCAAAACATAAAAAAACACAACATAGTAAAAGAAACTTATTTATGATTCAAAATCCCAATCTCAAACAAGTTTAATTTTACTACCTTCATTCTAACAAAGCTAAAGATACAAAAAAAAAGATAATTAGATTAAACAAAAAAAAAAATAGCAATGTAAAAGGATCTTATCTTTATTCAAGATCCCAATCTTAAACTATTCTAAATCTACTACCTTTATTCCGGCAAAGCTAAATATACAAAAAAAAGAATTAGATCAAAATGTAAAAGAAAGACAACATAATAAAAGAAACTTACCTTTGATTCAAGATTCCAATTCCAATCCAGTCTAACTTCACTATCTTCATCAAAGCTAAATATACAAAAAAAAAAATTAGATCAAAATGTAAAAAAAGACACAACATCATGAAAAAAACTTATTATTGATTCAACATCCCAGTCCCAAACTAATCTAACTCTACTACATTCTGACAAAGTTAAATATACAAAAAAAAAAAAAAAAAGACCAAAATACAAAAAGAGATACAACAAAGTGAAAGAAACATCTTTATTTAAGATCCTAATCCTAAACCAGTCTAACTCCACTACCTTCATTACAAAGAAGCTAAATATACAAAAAAAGAGAATTAAATCAAAATGTAAAAAGAAACAACAAAGTGAAACATCTTTATTCAAGATCCCAATCCTAAATCAGTCTAACTCCACTACCTTCATTCTGGCAAAACTAAATATACAAAAAAAAAATTAGAACAAAACATAAAAAAAAAACACGACAATGTGAAAGAAACTTATCTTTATTTAAGATCCCAGTCCTAAACCAGTCGAATTCTACTACCTTCATTCCGGTGAAGCTAAATGTATAAAAAAAAGAATTAGATCAAAACATGAAAAAAAAGACACAACAATGTGAAAGAAACTTACCTTTGATTCAAGATCTCAATTCCAAACTAGTCTAACTTCATTCTGGTGAAGTTAAAAAAAAAACAAATCATAAATCCTTTTTACACAAAAATAACTAAAAATCCGTCAGTACTAAAATCGTCAATACCTGTTTATTTTATTAAGATAACCAACTTTGGTGTCTTAAGTAAACGTGCTCAGCTCCTAATTTTACATATACTCTGAAAGT